TTTAATTCACTTAAGCCAAAAAAGCTTGTCTTTTCCTGGGTAAGAAAAAAGCTATTATACTAGCTCAAAAGTTTGGGCTATATTTTAAAAGTCTGGCATATTGGTATACTGCATTTATTTGCGGAAAGGGGATTTAGGTGGGAAAGAGCCCCATTTATTTCAACCTATTTATACAACCCTGTGCATGGAAATTGCATTTCCTCTTTTTTAAATGTAGTTTCACTTTGGCTATTCTGAACTAACTGTGCTAGGCAGAGGAATGAGAGATGGCTTTGGCAGTTAATGGCAGCAGAGATTGTTTTTTGGCAGGGAGAAAAGTGCATAAACTGCAATAGTTGATAGAAGATGAAATGGGGGTTGATACCTGAAATCTGTGTGCAGGAACTTGCTGTCTTTCACAAAACTTGTGACTTTATTTCCCAAATGTCTAGCTCTTGATTTGAATGGTATTTTTAGGAAACCTGTTAACGTCTGTTCTTTGCAAATGGTCTAGAAAAAGTTCATTATACCCATAGTTAAATAAAATAAAATTGCAGCAGCCCTTAAAATGAAATTAATAGATTTAAATTAAGTATTTGAGGGTGCTGTACTGGACCACCATCTAATATAAAATTCAGCTTCCTGTGAGCATGAAAGCACACCTCTCTTACCATTAAGGCCATCTTTGATTTGAGAATAGGGTTCTCAATTTTACAGAATTGTAATTTTTTTTACAGAATTTTTAGATTTTGAATTGTGACATTTGGATAGTGTGTCATTTTGCCTGCCCCTCACTACAGCTTGTCCTTTGATTTCTTCCTTCCCCAGCATCTTATATTTTTAATTGTGGCATTGCATGTAATGCCAGAGAAAAAGCAAGCATTCATTTTTGATACTTAGGGTTGCTTCTTAGTTGTGGTGGTTGTTTTGCAGTGCTGTCTGTATGAATAGGCATTCAACAGATTTCCTCCTTCAAAAGGCATTGTTTAAAAGCCAGTTTTGTGCTAAGTGTGGCACATGCCAGACACATGACTGTTGGAGAGTTGTCTGTGGTGGTGTTCTTCAGGACTCTATGCTTCTTTGGACTACCTCGTGGGTTTTGAGGTCTTTTATTGCTGCAGTGGTGTTAGTGGAGTTGGTGTTTTTAAGGTACATTTGCATATTTAATCTGCCAGTGCTGTGGGTGGGAGGGAGGTGGTGGTGAGCAGTGGAGCAGGAGATTAAGTCTTAGCAAGATGCTTCCATTTCTGAAGTCTGGTATTTGGTGTGTTCTAGTGAAACGTGGAGCTGTCTCTGATGGTGTTGAGTGGGTCTCTTAACCCTCGTTCTTTGCAGCATGGAAACTTTCATGGATGTCCTTCAGATACTCGTGTAGTTGGTAGGCTTGATTTGTTGTACTTCTCCCAGTAGTGGAGCTGTGTCAGTAGTCTGTCAGGTGCTGAATAGTGACAAACTTGGAGCAAATGTCTTTGACTTACACTTCTCAAAACTGCAGACCCTGGGACCAAAAATAACCAAGAACCTCCCTGTCATTTAATTGAAAGTTTGTCTTCTGACTAGTGATGGGAGAGTTTAAGTCCTGAACTACAGGCAGGGATCAGCCTTTTTCAGGGCATGTTTGTCTCCAGTAATTGAGCTGGGGTTGCCAAAATGAATCTGGTTTTCAGGTATTGGATGAAATGTTGCTTATTTGGGACTTTTCCAAACAGTTAAGAGTGAAGCCTGTGCATATCACTCAAAGTTTCTTTGGGACTGAGAACCTGTTTAAAAGCAGCTGTTCTACGACTGGTTAAACCTGGGTTCTGTCCTGTGAACAAGGAACTGATGTGTGGAAATAAATAACTGGATTATAAGCCATGATGTTGTATTCACTTCAGCTCATCTGCCTCTGCAGGAAGGACCATTAGATCCAGGACCATTTCAATGTGTACTTCACTCATGTCAAACCAAAAAGCTGCTAAAAACACTGCTGTGTTACAGCTGTATCCAACACATGCTCTGTCAATCCATGTCCTTTAATGCAGGAGGAACAGAGAGGCCCCTTGGCTCTCCTGATAAATTTGTACCATCCCATCAGCACAGTTCAGAGCAGACTCAAATATGAGGTGAAATCACTGAATACTGCTGAAGTTTAACAACATTTTTAGGAATTTAGCCAGTTTCCAGTAAAACGGGTAATGTAGATCCAAAGAAACAAAAAATATCTTCTAAATGACATATCATTTATTAATTATTTTTTATATAAAATGAATTACTATGGAAGAGAAGTGTTTTATAGCAATAATACAAAATATGGACTAGTGGGTTCTTTTACTCAAGATGGGTCAGGCAGCAGTTTTGAGAAGATTCTTTTGCAACAACCTTATTATATAGTGGATTAAGAAACATTCACTGAAAATAATTTTCACCTGATTTTTTTGTTCATTAAAGTATATATATATGGGTATTCTATTTTCTAAGATACACACTTACTTGGAAATAAGTAATATAAGCAATACTGATGTTCTATTTAGGTAGCCATAAATAGTTTAGAAATTAGAAAATGAAAACAATTGTTTAGGAGTTGGTAATGTCTAGTACAATAATTTTCTTATTTGTTTCTTTTTCCCCTTCCCCTGAAACTGGAGTTAAGGTTTTCAGTGTATCGGTGTCTACATCTTCTGTTTAAAACAAATGTAAACACTGTCTTGCATAGAACTTGAAAAATTGCACTAATTTTTAAACTTTCAGTTTTATTTTTTTCTTTGGGAAAAATCCTTTTATATTCACATAAAGATTTTTAAAATGAATTCTTTGGTGTCTTTATTCCAAGCTGTGTATTTAATGGTCCCTAGATGGTGTTTCTGGGCAATGCATGACCGGGTTCTGCACGTTGGTACATCTACACCATCTAAAATACCCTGTTTCAGGATAGACATGTATTACAATGTGGATGTAAAGAGTTGTGCTGCTCTCCTCTGCTGTTTCCAGTTCATTCCTCCCACCCAAAGCTGGTTCCCTCAGCTCAGCCCACAGACAGTTGTCTCAGAGCTGGGCAAGGGGGTTGTGAAGTGCAAAGGTTAAACCCCTCTGCAGCTGAGCTGTGAAGTGACCTCAGTAATTATTGCTGCTGAGGTAGGTGAGGGCCTCTGCCTGTTCTCAGCCCCACCTGAGGACACAGAGGATAGGTACAGCTCTAAATCACTGTCCTTGCTTTTATTCAGAAAACTGTCTGCCCTGTCCATCCTGCTCTGCAGGTGATTTATGTGCTCCATTCTTAGCCCCACTGTCACCACCCCCAGCCCAGAAGTGCTGTTGGTAAAGAGCTGGCAGCCTTCAGCCCTCCAGAGGGAAGCTCTGAGGATGAGGAGCCCAGTTACTTCCCTGGTGTGGAAGGGCCTGTCCCAGAGAGTGTTAAGCCATTATGGAAGAGCTGCTTTTCCTGCTTTCTGAGGACATAAAAGCAGTTTCAGGCACAGCACCAAAACGTGCAGGTGTGTGAGAGAGGAGGGAAGAGGTGCTCAGCTGTGCAGGAAGCCTGAGCCGAGCTGCAGGATGTGTTCAGTCCTGACCCTGTTTGCTTGCAGCTTTCTGGCAGCTCCTGAAGAGTCAAGCAGTGCAGCAGGAGTTTTGTGTGTTCAGGTGAGGGATGTCCCTGGAAGAGGAGTGCAGGATTAAAGCCCTGAGTGCAAAGGAAAGGAGGAGCTGAGGTCAGTCATGTGTGTGGGAGATGGTTTAGGCAGAGGGGGCAAAATATTCAAGATGCCTGTGAAATGGATTCTTCTTTTGGAATTTAACTAACCCAGCAGGGGCCTACAGAGGAAGCTTTTGGATAGAGCAGCGGCTTGGGAAAGGAAATGGGAACCTGAGCAAAGCACTGGGGGGAGAAAAGTACCACAAAACAGTCAGATGTCACCTGTGAACTGGAATTGTTTTGGGAGTAATAATCACACAGCAGAAACTTACCACTGTTCCCCTCCCGTTCCCAGTCAATTCCAGGCGTGCAGCCCACTTGCAATCTTCCCCTTCAGCTTCTCTCAGAGAAGAGAAAAAAAAGGAGATGGGTCTGGAGAGTCAAATGACTTTGTTGTTTCTGCTGGCGAGGGGAGGTGTGGGAGCCTGTGCCAGCTGCAGGTTGGGGGGCAGCTGGCATGAGGAGAGGAGGCTGGAGGGCTGGGGCTGACCAGGTTCTCCCTAGGAGTGGGATGAGACAAGACTGCATTTAATAAATGGACTGGTTTGTGTCCCCTCATGTGTCCTCATTTCTCCACCTCACGGGTCTGTGAAACAGCGTCAAGAACCAGGAACAGTATCTCAGTCCAAACTCTTGTTTCCACTGGCACAGAAAATCAGAGGAGGTGGGCAGAACCCCCCAACCAGTGCTGAAGGAGCTGTGCCAGAAGCTTTGTTCACCTGGGAGAAATTTGCTTCCTCTAGGAAGAGGTGAGCTGTACTCCAGGGAAAATTGAAAAGAGGAAAAAGTTGCTCTCTGCTCATTTCCTCAGCAGGAGCTGGAGCTGTGTGTTCCTGGTGCTGATTTCCTCAGTTCCCATCCTGCTCCTGGGAGCTGCAGCTTCTGCCTGGAGGCCTCAACAGGTTCCTTGTGGTGCAGCTGTTTCCCAGTTCAGTGCATTTATTAATGTTAACCATTGGTTGCCAGTCTTGGGACTCTTATCATTGTGTAGATGATGGCTCCAAATAGTAATTTGTTGCTGTTTTTTTCCAAGGCAGCATTTTCCTCGTTAGACTGTTGAGTGCAGCTTAACCTCATCGTGTGTTGCTGGAGCTCACCCCACTTCCCTTGGACACATCAGCCACTCCGTGATGCTGGGCAGGTAAACAGGGAGGATTTTGTATATTTTAATTCCAGCTGTGCTGCTAGGATCATTTTTTCCATCACTTCTGTAGGAATTGCCTTTGCTTTTACAGTGCCAGCCTCCTGCAGTGCAGGGGCAGAGACACAGGGCATGGCCAAAGCTCACAGCCCATGATGGACATGGCCTGCATGGTCTTCACTTTGCAGAACACTTCATGACACAAAATTGCTTTGATAAAGATTTATTGATGTATGAGACAGGTGTTACAAAGTGACTTTTTTTAGAGAAGTACATACTAAGGAAATGTCGAATACTTGTGTTAATGTTATAAAACAAAGGCTGATGTTGCTCTCCCATTGTACCCAGCCACAGCCTCAACAGTGCAGTCTCTAAAGTGTCCCTCATTTTGCCAAGGTGAGCCATGGCCATCTGTCATAAAATTAGGAAAGCCCCAAGCCCCTCATTAATTAACAGTGCCATAGGGCAAGCCTAATAATGCCCTGGTAGCTCCCAGGCTGATCCCATGATCACATTATCATGGGATACAGAGTGCAAGATCTAATTGTAAAAGAAATGATTTTGTAATTGCTTTGAAAGAAATAAACCGCCCAGCCTCCCCCTGGAGCTGTCAAGGGCTTGTTTTCAGCACCCTTGACAAAGAATTTTCCATGTGAGGACGGTGGCCAAGGCTTCCCTACCGAGGCACAGCACAGATCTTGTAGGGCTGTGGGGACATTGCGATGCCTATCATGGGCTGGAGGCTGAGGGTGGTGTCTGGGGGTACCTGGAAGGTGAATTTCTGGAGCAGGGATGTGAAGAAGAGGAAGAGCTCAGCACGGGCCAGCAGCTCACCCAGGCAGGAACGCTTCCCTGTGGAGACAGCAACCCACAGCATCCTCACACTCTGCTTCTGCTGCTGAAAATGCTTCTGCCTGCCCTTAGGACCATATTCCAGCTGTGTTACCCCATTCCTGGATGAGTTTTGTAACCCAAACCAAGCTTCTCACTAATAACTGGCATTACATGGTCTGCCCCCAAGCTGCATGACTTTATGAGGACAATTCACACACACAACCTGGGTGAGAACCATGGCTCTCCATGCTGGGAGAGCTCACCAAAGAGAGTACCAGAGAAGTTGTGTGGTGCTGGTGTGGGAAGCAGGTGCTAAAAGCAGCCTCTCTCACTGGAAGTTGCTGGCTGGGGGACCCTGTGGTGGCAAGAGTGAGGCTCCTGGTGAGCTCAGCCACGTGGGAGCAGCAGCACAGGGTAATGCTCTTGCCTCAGTGAAGCTGTTCCTAAGGTCTCTGGAATTTACATGGTTTATTATTCATTCTCATTTCTCTTCTGTGCATGTGAAAAGAGACAGGAAAAGGTTCCAAGTATGGTTGTGGTGCTTTGGGGAGGCCGTGGGAGCATTTTGAGCAGCACCTCCCAGGGTACATCTGCCCTTTCCATTGCTGTTTTCCTCTCCGTCTCCACCCTGCAGTTGGAAACCCAAGCCCACATGTGCACCATAATTCAGCAAAATTAGAAAAATGTACCTGTAGAAAATGGTAGAAAATACTCGTTTTTCCAGAACTTCCCATCCTTCAGGAAATGCTCAGGGTTAAAAGCATCAGGGGTTTTCCACTCATTCTTGTCAAACAGCAGAGAGGTTAAATTTGTCATTAAAACAGTGCCCTAAGAGGGAAAAAGAAAAAGAAATCACACTTTCTCTGGCACTGACAGTAGTAGGAGGGACAGTTTTATCTTCCAGTCTCCTCTCCATGAAGAACATCCTTAGTCAAATTCTACTGAAATTATTTGTGAAAGACCCCACTGCAGGCCAATTTTCTACTTTTAGTCTGTTTGGAAGTGCAGTTACATAACTGCATTTTTCCCTCATCAGCATTGTTTTTATCTGTTGTAATCTTGGGCCATCTCGTGTGTGTGCATGTGAAAGTCCCTGTAAGAGCTGGGAGCTGTGCCTCAAGGGTGTGTGTGGGGCTGGGGCACCATTCAGGGAGCTGGGGAACACTGGATGGCAAAAATCCATGTTCAGAAGGAGTGGACTCTGGACAGGGCAGGGACGCTGTCTGTGCAGGAGGGACCTGGCCTGGCACCGTGCCCAGGGAGCTGGGAGTGTTCCTGGAGTCCCAGCACTCCAGAGTTCACCTTTGGGATGTAGTAGCCATCCAGGTAGGTGTCCTTTGATGCCATTCTTGGCACGTTGAAAGGGACAACGTTGCCTTTCCTCTGCACTTCGTGGATGACAGCGTTGGTGTAGTGCAGGTTGTTCCTGTCCTCCAGGGCTGGCGGCCGTGCCTGGCCAATGACCGCATCGATCTCAGCTTGCACCTGGGCTGGGGGAAGAAACAGGAATGAGCCCAGGGGAAAAAACCTTGGAACAATAAAATATTATTGCTGTAAGGGTCTACCAAGGGACTTGGGCCACTGTTTGCACCTCTTATGTGAGTGTGGGGACATTCCCAACTGGTCTCTCACAAAGCTGCAAGGGAAAACATGGACTTTTCGCTAAGCGTACCTTGAATTTCTGGATGTGTGGCCATAAACAGCAGAGCCCAGCGGAGGGTTGAGGACGTGGTCTCAGTCCCAGCAAACATCAGGTCGAGGGCGCAGGACACGAGGTGTTCCTCCCGGAAAGTGTCACTGTCATGATCCTTCACGAGAAGGTGCATTAGTGCCACAGGAACAGTGAGGGTGTCCTGGCACCAGACTTGGTCCAGAACACCCCAAGGATTTTGGCAGAAGCTGCTGACCCCCTGCATCCCCGTCCTGCTGATGGGTGGCCTGAACCTGATGTCTGTCCTGAGCTCATAAAAGGCCACAAAGGCAGCTCAGATGGAGGATCTGGGCTCGTTTCCCATCCCTTCGGATTTCTAAGCCTCACTCCAGGAGGGTTTTCTCCCCATTGCTGACCTTGGAGATCTCCAGCAGGTAGCTGTCGATGTAGTCCCGGCTCTCTGAGGGGTTCCATTCCTCCTTGTGTTTGTTGATCTGCTTTTGCATAAACTCTTTCAATAACCTCCAGTTTTTAAAAATGGTATGGTGGGCTCCAGGTAAGTACTTCATTATAGATGGGAAATTGTTGTACAGCTTTGAACACAAAAGGAGAAAGACAAGTTGAACAAAGGACTTTAAAAACTCTTCTGACATCAAGACTTTAGCCTGCAATTGCACTTGCTGAATTTCAGGAGCTGGTGGAAACAACTCAGCTCCAGAAGAGCAGCATTCTCATTGTGGGGTAACTTGTGTGTTACCCACTATTTCAGTGGGCAGATTGGCAATCAGTGGGCAGGAAAAGTGATTTTGGGTGAGAGAGAGCAGCACAAACATAGCACAACTTAAACAGAAGGAATTAAAAAATGACAGGCAAATCTACCTTGTGCAAAAAAGGAACAGGGAACGACAGGTTTGGTGATGACAACACTGTGACTTTTGAGGTTGACTCCAGAGAAGAAACTATGGCCCTGGATTGATGGCAGGAGGGCTGTACCTGGCTTGTGATGGCTCCATGGAGGACAACCATGTCATTCATGAGTTTCAGCAGTCTCTGGAAATCCTCATCATGGTATTCAAACCGATTGCCAAAGATGAGGGAGCAGATGACATTTGAAATACCATTAGTGATTTTAAACTGAGGGTTGAAAGGATTCCCTGGAGAAAAAAAAGATCAGTTTTCTTCCACTCTTCTCAGGAAAGACAAAAACACATGTCAGAGGTAAAATAGTCAAGAAGTATGAATGAAATGAGTGGCCCCTAATGGGCACTATCCTATGTCAGTGCTTTCCTGGGGTGCCTGTTTTACCCCATGGGCTGGCCAAGCTTGGCAGGGCAACCCCAGTGGTCCCAGTTCAATCAGCTTATGGAGATGTTTGTTTACTTTGGAAAGCAAGGTCTGCAGGATGTCATTTGAATTCATTGGAAGCATCAGCATTTATGCATACATGGTATTTCCCAGAGAGGAGCAGGCTGAAGGTGGGCAGTGAATAATGCTCTGTGTGTGCCTGGCTGCTTTCCCCAGCCAGTTGGAAGGCAAAGCACCTGTAGGAAGGAGCAGGGATGCTGGCAGGGTTGTGGCATCCCTTGCAAGATGGGATATTTTTCAGCATGCAGTGAAATTATGACAAGCCCTACCAGTTCCTGCCTTCACAGCTGCTGAGGGCCATGGCACTCACCCTGTTCATCTCTAAATGCATCCACGAGGTATCGGCACTCCTCCTGGATGCGCTCCTCCAGGCTCCTCTTCCCCAGGCCAAAGTTTCGGAGTGTGGTCAGCGTGAACCTCCTCTGTGCCTTCCACAGGTGCCCGCTGGAAGAGATCAGTCCTGGCAGGAACATCCCCCATGAGCCAGGGCCGATCTCCACTGAGGGAGAGAAGCTCCAGGGCTCTGCAGGGTCAAGGTTAGACCTTAGAGCTGAGGCACGTTGAGGGATAACTCACCCATCTTGCTGAAGACCTCCTCATCGATGGGAATGTCGGGGCGCTCCATGAACTTGTCCCCTTGGTTCACGAGCACTTCCTTCACCAGCCGCATCCCGTTTACCATCACAAACTTCATGCTGCCCATTTGCATACCAAAGATGTCACCATATCTTTTACTCAGCTGGGAGGGGACATAAATAAAAGGGGTTTTCATTTGCAATGAATGTTCCTGGTGAGACCAGGACACCCCTGTCAGGGGACATGGGTAAAAATAAGGGAAGAGGGGGGGACAGAATGTGTGCACTCTGCCTGAGGGCAGTCTTTTTTCTTTCCTCTTTTCCCAAATCAGTGATCAGGAGATGGTGCTAATTGGCCATAAATCAAATAAACCTCACCAAGTTTGATTTTTCAGTCCTGTGTTTTGCCAGTTTTTGTTTCACCCCATTCCAGCCCCCACTTACACCTCTAGGGTTTGTACATCTGTGACTGCACCTGTGGAGATTGTGCTGTGACCTTTGCCCATGGAATCACTCCACACTTGTCACCCTGCTTGTACTCAGGTAAATGTCACCGATGAGGGGAAACCTCCTGCCAGCCTTCAGGACCTGTGGGGTTTGGGTTATCCCTTTCCCTGCATGGCCAGGGATGTGTGGCTGCAATCCCTCCATCCCTTCCCCAAACTGCTCAGCACCCACATACCCTCTGCACTGCAACCAAAGGATCTTTGAAGTCTATGAGATAGATGTGCCCCAAAAAGGGAAGGCGGAAGGGGGTGGGAGGGAAATCCTTTGGATTTCTGTTCTTCATGTAGTCTGCAATGAGCAGGAAGACAAAGAGAAAGACAAGGAATGTCTGGACGGAGATGTTGTCCCAGAGGAAGTGCAGCATGGCTGGATGGTGGCACTCTGCAGGGACGTGTCCCACAGCAGGTCAGGCAGGTTGAGCTCACAGGGCACCACTGAGGCTCCCAGGGCCAGGGGGAGATGGATGATCTGCTGTGGGTACAAAAACAGGACAGCAAGGAGTGGCTTTTGCTGCCTGCTCTCAAAGCTACATTCAGACTCCTGCTTTCCCAGCTTTCAGAAATGATTAAACCCCTTCTTGATTAAACTGAAACATTCCCTCTGATCTGATTTTTAAAAAATCACCCACCACAAACCAGAACACCCCCAGTTTCCTCTTTCCCCTCCAGCTTCCCCTCAGTACTTTACTAAACCCCAGTGCTCCATGCACTTGCCTAAAGGACAGAAATGAGCTTTGTGGGATTCTGGCAGCTTCAGCGTGCTGTTCCCACAAGCCCATCTCTCAGGATGACCCCACTCCCTCCTTCCCAGGTGCCCTCACCGTGCTGCGTCCCAGTTTCAGCTTCTCATTGCCAGGGAGTCTCCAGCTGCTACGAGAGCCTCACGCTTTCCTTGTTTACAGCAGCTCTCTCCCTGGTACGAGGAGTCCCGGGCCAAGCCCCAGGTCTCAGGGGACATCTGAGATAAGGTTGCATAAACCTTTCGCAAACCACCTGACTCAGTTTCGTGTTTCCGTGTGTCTGGGTGACGTGGGCTGAAAGTAAACAGCTGTCCTGGAACTCGGCAGTTCCTAAGCACCATCATTTTCTGATCTCCACCAGACGAGTGCAGGCAGAGCAGCTGGCTCTGGCCATGCCTTGAGCTCTGCAGCCATCCCTTCCCACTTGCCTTGTCCTTTGGGTCATGGCCTGCAGTGAAGCTGCTCCCAAAGCCCGCAGAGCTCATGAAGGTGCTGAGAAGCCGATGCAGATGCCCAGCTCTACAGGCTGGGGCCCTTTGGTGGTAGCTGGCAGCAGAATGTGCTGCATTTTCCCACCCAGGAGCAGCTCTGGGTTAGGGAGGTGACAGGGACCACATGGCATTTTGATGTATATGTTGTGTTTTACTGTGAAAGAAGCAGGGAGCAGCAGCACTTTGACCTTGCACCACGTGGCTCAGTACAGCCCTTTGCAGTCACCAGCTGCCACTTCCTGCTCTGGGGGATGTTTTGGGTTCCTTTTCTGTCTTTTGAGGGCATCACTTGTGGTTGTTGGGATTGTCCAGTGCTGATGACAAGGCACAGAGGTGTAGAATAGCCACTGGAGTGATGCCATACACGTGTTCTCCATCACCCTTACACTTGGGAAGCTGGAGAAGCCAAAGCTGTTCTATTCTGGAATTTAAAGGGGAGAGGCCTGCTTTTGAGAACATCTCTTTTCACCTCTGGTATTTAAGCACGCTTAGGCATGAGCCCCTGGAGATGCACATGTTCACCAGAAGTGACATGAGAGGATCTGCATGAAAATTAAATAAATTCATGCCTCCTGCCTTTAAGGTATGGCATCATTGCATTTAATTTTGGTATGTTTTCCCACATGATTAAAAAAAAAAAAAAGAAGAAAAAGAAGATGACTTCAATAATTTATTATCTCCAGGAGTAGGGGAGGAAACCCCAAAGTAATGAAGAAACACAAGTTGGAAATGAAGAAGAGATCAATATTTATTTGTTAAGCCAGTGCAAATAATACAAGCTGTAGCCAGAGGTCAGACCTACAGCAGAATGAATACAAAAATGGAGAGAAACCAGTGCCTAGTCCCAAGTGGCATTGAAGACTTCATAGGTGGAAAAGAAAAAGTCCCTGGATCTTTTATGTTTTCTCTTTTACAAAGACAAAAACACAACATGGGAGCCTGTGACTGTGAAACAGTAATTAAAAACGCAATAGGATTAAAGTGATGGGTCGGAAGGACAGCTCAGTGACAGAATCCCCGTGTGCCCGGCGTGGCAGGGATGTGATGTGCAGAGGACTCTCCCCTGTGGCATAAATCTGCCACTGCACAGCGATTGCTTTGTACCGCAGCAAAGCCGCTATTGCCGGGGACAGAGGAGAAAACCGGTGGAAATGAAACTCCTGTAATCCTCTTTTCCTGTTAACTATTCCATATCCTAAATGGGTACCCACAGAAAAGTCATTTTTGAAAGGTGAGAAACAAAAACCAAAAAAAAAACAAAACAAGAGGAAAAAGAATAATTTTTGCTGTGACTATAGTCCAAATTGAAGCACACTGGAGACTGCATTTCTAAGCATAAATGCTTGGTCACATAAATGGAAAAATTCTCTGCAAGTTGCATATTTAATTAACTCTTATCCAGAGAGACCTGGCACAGGAAGAAGCTGTGTCATCATGCAGGGTGCCCTGTCCCCAGCCACCTCCTCAGCTCCATGTCACATCCATGCTGGTCACACACAGACACAAATCTTTGCCAGAAACAGAGGGGAAGTGCTGAACTCGTGACTTCCCACCACAAAGCCACTGTTCCAGAACTTCCTTCCTGAGGGCCAGGGCTGGGCCACCACGGGCATGACCCTTCCAACACTCTCTGCTGTTCCCTTTCTGCTGCTCTTCAGGTGAACTGCTCCCCAGCAACCCCAGGGGATTATTTTATTGCAGCTTTTCTGATCTGTATTTTACTAGCACAAACATTTTTATTTTCTAACATAAAATTGCTCTATCGTATTTTTGTAGCCCTTCCAGACCTGCTGGCAGCACAGCTCCTTGTGCCATCCCACCTGGGTTGGGCTTCGGTAGAAGCTGCTTCTACTCCCCTGTAGCCTAATTAAAAATTCCACATATTCTTTGAGGTCCTAAAAAGCGCTTGCTGCTGCTGCAGAGAACTCTGCTTAGATATTTTTTTATCCCTGGAAGTGTCCAGGGCCAGGCTGGATGGTGCTTGGAGCAACCTGATTTCGTGGAAGGTGTTTTTTTCCATGGCAGAGGAGGTGATCTTTAAGGTCCCTTTCCAGCCAAACTGTTCCTTGATTCTGTGATTTCCATCAGACAGCAGCAATGTGGAGTGTCCACCACACTGAGCCCAAACCCTCGGGATTACCTGTGGCCACTGAAATTCCAAATTGATGCTGAATCAGAGTCCAGAGTTTGTGTGCAAGGCCAGCTGCTCCCTCTGAGCAGGGACCCCTCAGGAGCCCTTGGCTATCTGGGTGCTGCAGCATTAGGGGCTGCTAAGTGATCTCTGGCTGATGGACATATTCCCTATGGAAAAGCCATGGTTTTGCAGCTGGAAGACACCTTACTGGGAATTGCTAACAGTGGGAATTAGGTAATAAGGCTTTTAAATCCATGTATTTTGTCAGATTGGTAGCGGGGAGCAGGAATGAGGTGAAGAGCCACAAGGGTTGTGTTTGTTGCAGTGTGCAGGACAAGGCCCTTATGCCCTTCCCCTGCCGCCCAGACGCTGGCAGGTGCTGGACCTCCAGGGCCCATCATTTCAGCCCAGAATCTCTGGTGTGGTGAGGGGAAGGGATTTTCCCGGTTTGTGAGGCTGCAGTGGGGGTCTGGGGCAGCCCCAGGCCCGGCTCAGTCGCGGGGCACGGCGCAGAGCTGGAAGGGTTTGGGGCAGCGCGTGAGGCTGAGCGTGAAGGCGAAGGACAGCAAGGCCGCTGCTGGGGCCTGGAAGGTGAACTTCTGCAGCAGGGCCACAAAGAAGATGAAGAGCTCGGTCCTGGCGAGCTGCTCCCCGGGACAAGCCCTCTTGCCTGGAAAAGGAGCACAAATAACCCGAGAGAGTCCCGAGCGAGCTCCAGGCACCTGGGAGCCTCCTCTGGCCTGCGCCGCCTTGCACAGGCTGCAGCAGCTTTTCTTCCTGGAAAGGTTAGGTGGCAATGTTCACCCACACAATCTGCTCAAACCTTCCCCAGAAGTTTACTGCCGAGCAAACTGCGCCTGTTCCGAGAGGCGAAGAACGGAAACAGTCTGAACAACCCAGTTATGCAAGAAGAAAAAGCCTATTTTTTTTTTTTTTTTTTTTCTATCCTGCAGTAACAAATTGATTTCCTTCCCGCTCCGAGCAGCCTCTATTTACCGTGACCGGGATTTTCACTGTGGGGATGGGCTGGAAGCCGGACAGCAGCTGTACCCCCTCTCTATAAGCGGTGTCTTGGGGCAAAGATAAAAGCTTTACAAAAAGAAAAGCCACCTCCCCATCCATCATCCTACCTGCAGAGAAGGGCAGAAAAGCCTCCCGCCTCCTGTACTGGCCGTTTTCCAGGAAATGTTCAGGATTAAAGGTGTCTGGAGTCTCCCACACGTTTTTGTCGAACATTATCGAAGTCAGGCTGGTCATCAGGGTGGTGCCCTGCGGGAGGTGGAGAAAAGGGGCGATTACGCGGCGGAGAGGAGCAGACGTGTTGTCAGACTGGCTTATTATTAGCTCTGTAAACTACACTAAGGGCAAAACGGGATTTTTTTTCACCCCCCCTAAGCCACGTAATTAAATGAGGGTGAAAGCCTGCAGGATTGTTCACTTGTGTGTGCCTTTTCATATCACCAAGTGTGGATCTGCACCCTGAGCTGCAGTAACAGGTGATGTTAATGCAAACTAACTTTAAATTGGTAGCACTGCATTCCCATAGGAACTAGAAGCAATTTAAGCAAGTAATTTCTAATCGATTTGTTTAAATGTGATTTTTTAGGACAAAATGAAACTGATCTGGTTTATCTCCGCACTCTCCATCATCAAGAGAAATATTCTAATCAATGTGGAGGAAAATGCCTGGGTTTTTTTAAATTTGTCTCATTGCAATGAGTCATATAGAGGGAATAGACCAGTTATATATAAATCCCGTATTTGCTTTTGTAATTGCAGAACAGTGTGTGTGAAACAATACTTATCACATGCCTTTCATCAAGTGCTACTTTTAAAAGATGATTATTAATATTGTGTAGAGTTAACAAACCCAAACTGTTTGCTTTCCTATGTTTCCTAGTTCTCTATTCCCGTAATATGTTGAGGGTGTCTTTTATAAAATTTAAAGCATAAACCTTTTAAAATTGGAAATTACAGCCAGCACCATAAGGATGTCACAATTCTCCTCTGTAAGGAGGTGAGACCCAAACAGCCCCACAGAATCCATCAAGAGGGCTTGTATTTTCTATATAATTGCAATATTTCTATAATATTCTGCCAGGTTCCCCTCCAGGTGAGATTTGGGACTTGGGCTGTGAAGACCCTGCTCTGGTGGGACAAAGGCTGGTAGGATGAAGGTTGATGGGATGAAGGATGGTGGGATGAAGGTTGGTGGGATGAAGGTTGGTAGGATGAAGGTTGATGGGATGAAGGATGGTGGGATGAAGGTTGGTGGGATGAAGGTTGGTGGGATGAAGGTTGGTGGGATGAAGGTTGGTGGGATGAAGGTCCCCACACACTTTGGGCAGGTGGAAGCCAGCCAGGGTGGTGTCGCTGGTGGCCATGCGGGGCACCCCCAGTGGCACCACGTTGCCCATGCGCAGGACCTCGCTCAGCACGGCGCTGGTGTAGGGCATCTTCTCCTTGTCGGCCATCGAGGGCTGCCGGCACTGCCCAACCACAGCGTCAATCTCCTGCTGCACTTTCTCTATGGGGAGCAAAAAAAAATTCAAAATATCCCTCCTCATAGGACTTTTAGGGTTGGAGAAGCCCTCTAAAATGATCTAGTCCAAC